AGTTGCAACAGAGATCAGAGTGCAATCAATATTTACAAGTTTCATTTGTGTCGTCAGGCAGAAGTGGCTGAATTACAAAACAATGTCTACACCGACGAAGGTCATTAGAAATAAGTCAGAAGACTGACGCAATAGAAAAGTTCACTTCCAACAAAATAACGAATGAATGAACGAAGATTAATGAACTTACTTGAAAAATATCTTCACTCTTGAATGAATTGTTACATTAATTTGAATTAGTATTTTTTATTATATAATTACGTGAATGGAATCCGAGACACGTTGAAAGGATTTATGTTATATGAATTCGGGCGAGTGCACAGATCATATAAGTTCTGAAACAAATACTGACCAGCCTTCAATTTCACGCCATTTACCCGCGCACAATACACTCAAAAAAGGAACAAAATTAAAAAAAAAATAACATAATAATAACTCATACGCAGCGTTTCCGAACGACCGAGAAATTTTTGTTGTGATTCGAATTATCGAATAACTGTCGTAAGTGGATTTATTGCAGTAAATATGCAGTTCACCTTTCAAATAAATATTTCATTGATAAACATTTTGCGACAGCAGTTCGCCAGTTATTTATCGGTAACGTAATATTAAAAGTATTACTACACATTATTATTAATATCTTTATAAACTTAACCCTAATCATGACTGTTATTAGATAAGCTCGACCCCACAGTTTGACAACTAATAATTACTAATAAACCCCCCCAAAAGCTCTTGAAATCATCCAAATTACGCTAAACGCCGGACTTTAACCCTCAAAACGTCGATGACAATTACGGCTAATAAATAATAATTTCAATAATAAGCGTACACAAAAAGTTGTCGGGACCGCCATTATAAAATGGACTCGTCTGTTCACCTATACGGGTCGTGTTTGTTATGTGTGGTTTGAAAGTGATAGGTCATATTATCTGGTTTTGTTTTAAAACGCCGCGCACGTCCTATAATGGCGACCGGCAACAATCGCGGCACTAGCGATTATAACGATTATTGTCGATAACTTGTATCGACACCGGCTATTTGGTTAGTCCGTCTATTATCGATAATTTGCCTTGGGGGTACGCTTCTGACACTAAATCGTACACCGATTACATTTTTTACTGACATAACTGAAGCTCTATACATACATATATATTATGTTTAGGTACGTTAAACTTGATATATTTTTTAAACTATATGTTCAAACATTAAAACGGTTACTACTAATTGATGTTCGGTTTTCTTTGTAGTAAGCTGGCTTTTAATACCAGGTACATGTACAATATATTTAATATCAAGATAAAACACGATCGGAACACCGTTAAATCGCATCAGCGCACATGTTTTACTGGCTATAATTCTATTCCACGAGTCCATATAAAATAGAAACTCTGGAGTCGCGAGCTTTCAAAAACGCTGCATTAAAACGTCATAAAACTCAAACATAAACGTTTACTGCGGCGATTTTACGAGCACGCTACCTATCGATCGCTTTAACGATAAATAAAAATTAATGGCCAGAGAATCGCAGTGGCCGCTCTGTACCAGCCGAATAACAGGTCGCATCTAGAACTCTAGCTCCGTGTATCATACATACCGCGCACATTGTTCCGATAGGACTTAAATCAAAACAATACATGTCTAAATATAAATGTTAAGATGTTTTATTCGTGAATATATTCACCGAGATAGATTTTGATATCGGATTTAGTGAATAGAACTAAAATCGACATAAAAATTCTAATCTCACTACAGACACCTATAGTTTTAAATATTAATCCATCGTATAAACCGATTTCGTTTCCAGCAAAAAAGATATCACAGTGGGAAATCATTTTTTCACGAAAATTTTACGCGAAATTCGAATTTTAATGGTGTATGGAGCTCTCGTGGCGATGTTATTAACTCGATCGGTCCGTCGGATGCAGGATAACCCCCCAATGGGGTTGGGAGGTACGAAATAGGATTCTATCGTCCTCTTCCATTCCACGTACTTCGCCTCCCGATCAGATACGATAGACCTTATCCCCAGGACGCAGGGTTTAAAATACCCTGGCACCGATCTCCACGGTCCAATGGTTCTGTTTACGTCTGTAATTTCGTGTTTTATACTTTTTTCTCCAGTTGACATTCGTGTTAGACGGAGGTCGTGAATACTTTTACTGAAATAGTTGTTCTCTCGATCATGCAGCAATTCAAATTTACGTACTTAGTTTTTTTTCTTATTTTATATGTTTTTACTCTACATTTCATAATTTGATAGATATGTATACTGATAGTTTAAGTGATTGTGTTTTGTGTACGATGATACTATATCAGAAATGTACTACAAAGGAACGGTTTATCCATAATTTATTCAAACTTAAACGTGGGCCTATATTCCATATGAAAACACCAGGTCAATGAGGTGAAAGTACATATACGTAAATATATATATTAATATTGGGTAGTAGAAAGGGTTGTTGTAATTTTTTTTTTTGTATTTTCGGGTAATGTTAATTCTATAAGCCGTTGTAATAATATATTAATTATTGAAAAAGTTACATAAATTATATAAATTTATAAAAATGATCTAGCACTAACCAAGTTTGTCATATATTTCCTATAACGTATTACCAAAAAAAACGAGAGTTTGGTGTAACAAAGAAGTATTAAAAATAAGATTATTACAATTAATTTAAAAAAGGAACATAGAATTTTTAAAAAAATGCCAATTATTTAATATCCAAGCAAACGGATTGTATTATTGAAGTTTAAATAATAACACACGATGGAAGTTCGCTCGGCGCCGATTCAGAATTAATGATACTTTTTTATTGTCTGCCATCCTCTTTATACTGAAAATATTTTATGGACCTTTTGAACGGTAACCTGTGCCTCGCAAATTATTATATATTAAAAAAAACTGCGGTACATACTCGAACTCTTTATTCGCTAACTATAATCTCGCCCCTTGAAATAGCTAATACCGCACGCGTTGTTACTCCTAGCTTCAGGCTGTTTACTCACAAACGATCCAGCCCGGAAAAATTTTTGTTCACAGCCACGCTCTGCCGCCTCCACATCTTTTTATAAGCTGTTTTAAAAACACGATAAGTTTTTATTATTAAACGCGTAGGTCTTATATATAAAACTCTACGTCGTTGAAATGTAGCTTTAGTTAGTTTCGTGTTAGTTCCTTTTGAATCAGACCATCGTACAGACAAAATAATGTCTAATTAAAACTATTGTTTTGATTAAAAAAATTCCGGTTTGTCCATAAGTACTATTCTATAATTTTAAAACTATATTTTCCTTTATCAAAATATATTTTCAGTTATAATGTCTTAAATTTCTGTTACAGTAATATAAATAAGTTACTATAATGACATACATATGTCATTAGCATTTAATCATCAAATTCCAAGGAGTTCAGATTAGGATCTATGTGGCTTAAAACCAGTGGAAGACAACCCTCTATGATACTGGCAACTAAATGTTTTTTTTTATTTTTTTGCAATAAAAAAATAAGAATATATGATAATTTTATTAGTACTAATAAATTAAGAGTGTATCTACATATCGAATAACACAATACAAATACGTTTTTCCTCTCATTTCTCTGCACTGGGGGCTATTTATTTCGAGTATATCGTCTAAACACAATTACCCAACGCAAATATAGCCGTGGGCTTACACATGCTGTGTGTTTGGGTATCCTTATATGCTACACGAGGCATGTAGTGATCAAGCAGTCATTTATAAAATGGGTACAGTAAAAAAAAACACAGATGCTAAAAAATTTGACATAGAATGAATACAGGTTGGTTTCATATGGTATCATGCAAATCTCATTTCATTATTGTAATTATATTTTATATATTAAAAAGTAGCACCAACTACTATCATTGTGGTTCTATACTACATTTTATTAACGATTTACTTTAAGTTAACACGTACTTCAATTCAAAAGATATCATTAATTTCATAAGGGCCGTTAAAAAGTATTTCTCTATGGCAATATTGAAATCATTTACTAGAAACTCGAAAGTAAAGACGATACAGTAGCTCAAACTGAATACATTAACAGTGCATACTAATCAAGCTAATAACCTGAAAAACCGGGGCCACTGTTGACAGATACCCTCTTTAATTCAAACCGAATTAATTATTACCATAACGTTATCTTAATCAGACGTCTTTCAATTATGTGGTGGGGTTGATATCACCCCAGTGAAAATATTTATATACGCATGTGTTATAACACACTCTTCACTTCGGTGTGTTATATTTTTTTTTTGTTTATTAAGAAAGAAAAAGCCTACTACCGCGTGACGACGTGGCTAATGTGTAATGCGGTTGGGTTTTTTGTCGGCCATCTTTTTGTTTCCTTTTACCGTGGAATCGGTTACGGTCTGTATTGATCGAAAATCCGATTTCGAAATGGGTGCGGGTTTTATTGTGGGCGCGATGCGTTCCTAAACAATAACACTATTTTTTTTTATTATATAGGTATATTATTATTATATTTTTTTAATGCAATTCTCACATGTCACGTACAGAAATTAAAGGCGACTTCGCGTTTTAGAAAAGTAATTATTGTTAGTCGATTGGCTCCGTTTTGTGGTGTGGACAATAAAAGAACTCATTTATTTTTTTCTCCTAACTACATAGAGAACGTGCCAGCATGTGTCCACTCTAGATTGGAAGTTACGCAAACAGTCGACGGTAGCGCAATTACAAATCAATCTCGGTGGACATGTTCTATTTCGCGACACGTACCATTCTGTGGCTGAGGTCATTTTCCTTTCTACAACGTTTCCTTTAATAACAGTTATGGCCACCTTTTAGTTCTATTACATCAATTACGCGTAATTACCCAAAATGTAAGCTCTCAGGGTCATTTACATAATTTTATGAGCCGTATCCATGGTTACGACAATGCCATAAATTCTTACGAGCGTTTTTATAATTGTTAAGTGTTAGAGGACCTTAATGATAGATATAGTGTGAAGACTTACGGTGCTGCGTCGGCGCCTTGCCAGCTAAGTAATCCTCTTTGCATATAAACTTGTTGTCGTCCAGAACGTAAAGCTCCTCGCCGGTGGACAGTTGCTTCCTGCAGACGAGGCAGGTGAAGCAATTGAGATGGAAGACCTTCTCTCTCGCTTTGCGGACCAAGTCTGATGGAGATATGCCGTGGCCGCAGCCGCTGCACTTAGTGCCGTAGCGTCTGTGAAAACAAACATCCTTCATTATTAAGTCACTCAATGCGGAACAGAATTCAAACAAAAAATATAATTATACCAAAAAAAACATATTTAGCGCAGACAACGCCACAGTCATCGCATGTTTCGCTATCATTCTATTCAAATTTATTTTTATATATGACATTGAAAACACGATTGCCCAAAAACAACCTACATACGAGTTTTTTTTTTAATCACACATACATAAATATCGACAGCTAAGTCTAATGACAATTTATGATAAAATAAACTCATTCATATTATAAACGCGTCTCGATTTCTATACATCATGGTCGACCTATCGGAATATAGACAATATAATTTAGATATCTTCCGAATGAGGAGCTATAATACTACCTACTTATGTTCTTAATACTGAATTAAATATTCTGCTTAAAACGTAATATACAAAAGAATCATAATGATTGATAAAAAACGGGAAATTTCCACAATAATACTAGATTTTTATATCCGTGTTTGAAAAATTAATGCATTGTAGTGTGAATTAATGTTTCATAATATAAATTAGATCGAATAAATGTTATGTGCCAGATACATAAAGATATAAAGAGGTTTAATTTGTAACACATCAAAGATTAAACTTGTTAAGGTTTTAATGATACCCGCGTAGATGATAATATTTATGTGACAATTATATTATTATCTATCTTACATTATATCTTCTATACTTGTTAGAAACGACTTACGATTTTTAGGTCAATATCGTAAAAACATAGAGATCTATGTCCAATGACACTGTTTTATGGAGTACTGTCACGCTATGTTCTTGTAATTGCGGAATAGTTCAAAATATTTGTAGCTGTATTAATATGGTTTAAATGATGACCACTAAAACAGAAATTATACAGAAATATTGTTTATAAATCACAAGTATTTTGTCTGCAATTTTATTAATTTTCTCTATAATTGTATTAATTACTTAAGTTTCAATAACATTATAATAATTATAGAAGATTTTTGTTTCGCGGTATATGTAAAAGAAAGTTATAAAATTGATAATTATAATTTATATGGTTTCCGTGACAAGCATATAAACGATCGATAAATAAAAAGAAAACGGTTTATTATAGAAAAAAATATATGCTTATGAATGTAAATACGGTAATTGTAGGATATTTACACCTGTTGATAAAAGATGTTAAGAAACTAAAACCAACAGCCGACATACGAGTATTATAGCTGTTAAATACGAACAAGTTGGCTGTATGTATTTTTATTATTTTATCATCCCATTGAATTATTACCAACTCCATTTGCATAAACGATGGAGGCCGTATGAATAAAACATAAAATGATAAAAACTTCGTTTGGCGCGAACCTGACGGTCCGCCATATTGGTCCGCACCGACAATATTCAGATTTGCATTAAAAGAGTCCGAATTCGGGGATATTTGTGTAAATATTAGCTACTGACTTAATAAAAGCCAATTACTTGATTTGTAAAATCAAGGATTCATCCAAAGTAAATAATCTGGCATGTAAAGCGACCTATCCACAAGTAAGGTTACTTTTTTTAACATCTTTAAAGAAGTATTCAGTCAAATAAGTTAAAATGTTGATTATTATTATCAGCCTATTAACGCCCACTGCTGAGCATAGCCTCTTCTCACTTGGAGAAGGTTTAATGTTGATTATTAAATATGAATTAAAATTGTGGCAAGTCTTATTTTTATATATGTGCCATTGGTGGAAATGAACAAAGAATTAAACAAAACCATATATTTAACTGTACTTAGTGCTTAAGTGTCTTTAAATAATAGGGCAAATTTAATTTATGGGAAAAAAAAGACAAAACATTTTTATTGTTTTTAAACGAAGACAATAATGGCGTCGTAGCGGAAATGACGCGCTTAAACAGAGGAAACCGAAATGTCACCGAATGAAGTCATCAAACAAAACATCAAGATATGAGTTAACGACTTAAACGTCACATATTCTTAATAACCCTAAATAAAAATAATCAAAGCTCTAACAAATTATTATTACTATATTTGAAGATAGTAAGAAACTTATTTACTTATTTTAATTATCTACATAAAAATACTAACTCAAAAAAAAAATTAAAATCCTTTTTATTGTATAGGTACATTATTTTGAAATAGCTTGTTTTTGATAAAAAGACTTCAAAAATTTTGCGATTTAGTTACAGGAAGTTAAGCGTTATCCGGTAAACTAAAACAAAATGGTTATTTTTTTGTAGTTTCTAGCGCCATGTTATTTAAAACTAAATTATATTTTTTTATAAAGATTATCCAATTATGGGCACTCAAGCTTCTAAAAACCGTTGCTTTTTTATTCTAGTGAAAAAAAAAATACTTTAGGTCAAGCAGGACAAAAGTTTAAAGTTTTCAAAATTCGATCATAATGAAAATTATTTTTATATTTTATCTTAAACAGTAAAATAATTTTATAAAACTATTATATGTTATATTTGAATTTTATTATTATTAATAATTGTTTAACTCATTAACTATTATTTTCCAACTCTCAGTGTTAATTGTCAACGGGATGACATACTCTATGACAGAATATCTTTTTTATTGAACGATTAATTGCCAGTGTCGTCTCTATGTCAGTATTATTTATGGTTTATTTACCAACCTAACTTTTTGCACACACATTATTCTTACACATCGTTTAATACTTATTGGTTGTCGTTTTCTTAAAATAACAAAGCCCTTTAACACATCAATGTCGTATTAAAAAGGTTTAATATGTTTTTTTGGGCCCAAAACGCTTTGCAATAGTTTGACTTTTTTTGCAATGGCAACAATTAATCATAAGAAAAACTACGTCCGACTCGATATGATTGCTTGGTTGAGAAATATTCAATATTTATTAATTAATTTTCCAGGTAATTGAAAATAAGGAGTTTTTTTATATTATTTGAGTTATTAAGAAATTTTTTCAGCCGTATATTTTAAAAATACAAATTACTTGATTAACAAAACTGTTATATAAAAATACTTTTATCTTTTAACGATATACATATGTATGTATGTTTGTATTATACATAGTATACATATTTTGTGACTGATTGTAATTTTATTTGAGAATCATCTCTAATAAGAAGTCATGAAATACGAATAGTTATGTCTCCAAATTAATTTCATCAAATAAATACATTTGGTTCTATCTTTCGTCACTACCTTTCAAGCGGCAGATATTGTTGTATCCTGTTGTAAGCACTTTCTAATACAAAATGTAATATTAAGAAACATTACTGTAACAAGACCTGAGGCACAATTACTAGACGCTACAGGCTTTACCAATGACCTGAGAAAAAGAATTATATTATATTATTTTTTTATTCGTTTCACAGTTTACACAACTTTTTTACGTTCAATAGTAGGTAATTGGATTTTATAACAGCACTAGATCCTATTGCTACTTCATTTTGTAAGACGCTTAGTTTTTTGTTACACTAAAATCTTTTATGCGGAATATGTCGTATATATTTGATTTTGATCGATTTTGTTAGTTATTACCTAGTAATTTTTTATGGTAAAATTTCAACTATACGGCCTACCCGATGTAGGTAGTACCGTTGCCTACGGATTCCGCTACATAGTACAGAATTACCTTTTTTTTTGTTATCGCTGGAAAAATGCTTTTCGCATACCACTCTACAGTAGGCAGTTGTGGTTGTGTGGGACTTCTAGGTTTAAGCACCCAGTCTACCCACTAAAAAACGTGTAATTCCTGCTCGCCACAAAAGGTGGAAAGAAGTACATAATTACCTGAAGAAGTCATTGCGACAGAACAGCTTGTTATCCCTGGAGTAGCACTTGTCAGCCAGTGGAGCCCTGCAATCGGCGCAGCGGACGCAGGCAGCGTGCCAGGCTCGCTCCAACACATGCAGGAGGAACTTGTCCAGGATAGGCTTCTCGCAACCAGCACAGGCCATCGCACCGCCAGCTTCCCCACGTCCTAATAACAGAAAACTATGTAACACTTGTCTTTGCAAGTCTTTGCATGTCTGTGTAAGGATTGAGGCCATTAAAAACAACCAATCAACAAAACTATGTATGACACAGTAGCTCAGTTGCTAGAATGGCGGTAAAATAAAAATTGTAACTGAGTTTCGTGTTATTTAAAAAAAATGTGGACGTTTAAAATAAATGAGATGAGAGTGTTATTTAAAAAAAATCTATGTAGAATAAAAATATATATAATGTTTAAAATGTTTTAAAGTATTTTGATAACTTAATAAAATGTCATAATAATATAAACGTTTGTTGTTATATGTAAATTAAATATGATGATGGGTTATAACAAATAAGTAGTTTAAATAAAACTTCATGGAGGAATGCTTGAATAGTTCATTTTATCGCAAAGTTACTAGTTGAACGAAACCATAATAGGATTGTGTTTTATGACCGATAAAGCTTAGTTGAATAAAATTTTATTAGCATATGTTATTACTGGGCTTTGTACATAGGATGTTGATATATTATGTAACGCACAAGGCTGAATAAAACACACGTAGGTACTCCACTCTTACTAGAAATCTACTACAGTTATTTAATGCAGATTTATTTCTATTTACTATCGAATTGATTTGATTTCAATGCGAGGAAAAACAATTTATTTCTAGCTCATGCTTTCTATACGGAATATGAGAAAAAAAAATCGATTTTAAATTCGAGTAAAGTATTTTTTTTTTTGTAAATAAAATACGTAACTTTCGCAAACTTTTCAGTGAACTATATAAGTATTTTTTTGTAAAGACTGTTCATGTGATTTTTATATTGTTTCATAAAACTCAAGCTGACAGCTATGACAAAGGCTCAGAAAAATAAAAACATGTCAACGGAGTGTTTCAAAATACTTCTTTCGAACATTCAAAAACATGACATTTATTGGCCGAATTTATGAAGGTCGCGGCGTCGTCGGCGGTTTAATATTCCATATTCAAATTCGAATGTCCGATTGGTCGCGCGCCATTTCATACGATGCGTTCAAAAATCTGTGACGGCGATTCTCTGTAGTTATGGATATGCAGCGGTGCGTGTGATTTCTTGCTTAAAATTTATGCTGTCACGCTGCTTAACCTCCGAAATAACAAGTTGACAACGCTATCTCTGTTAAAAACATGATATTCGAGATTTTTTAATCCGACTTAAGTGATATATTGACTACATACATAAATTTGTAGTTTTAAAAACTTAAATAGAATTAAGAAGTCGTTAAGCGGTTAAAAAAAAATATCTAATCGTCTTTTAAAACACTCTCGCGAGAAATGCAACGGGTCTACGGATTAAATGGGCTTACGACTCGGACTAGCGTTTCTAAAAAATATTTAACAGTTAGACGGCAAAAAGTTACTAAGATACAAAAAATAATAATCTCAGTAAAAAAAAACAGCATTCCACAAAAGACAATAACTAAAAGGTAAAATAGAAGTGAGAAAGTACATTACAATGTAAGAGAAACCATTAAAAATAAATTAGCAATATCCACAAAATGGCGTAAAATAGAATGTATGTTTGTATTTCAATTATAGTAAACCGCTGAACTAATTTGCTCAGGATCCGGGCTTGCTAATAAGCTATTTCTCAAGTATTATTTTACCCGCAATGTTACTTTGTAATATAGGAAATTAATTATTCCTCATACACATTTTCTGTAACACAGATCCACAACAGATTCTCAAAATATGTTTTTTCTTACTGCGTTACAGATTGAGTACATTTTATTAATTTTACTATGATTTGTATTGGAATTATATTATTTATTAACAAAAATAAAAATGTTTTTTTAAGGTATGAAAGTGTACATACGTTTTATATTTGGTCGTATTTATTTAATTCATATAGAACTTTCATACTTGGTTTATTATTTAAGAAAAATGTTTTAATTGAAACAAAGACTTAAAAATTTCCAATGTTCTAAGATTAGTTGAAAAAATTGTTTGAAATGTTTATATTAATTAAATATACTAACTAAATGTGTATTGAATTTTGATTTTATATTTATTTTGAATCTAATTTCATCGCAATAAAGAATATTTTAAACTTACACTTCATTTTAACGGGTTTTCTCACAAATTAAAAGAAACTTCCAGAAAAAAAATAGGAAAAAAAATTAAACAACAAAACTCAACATTGAAAAGATCATAAGGTGCTTAAAAATTTGCAATATTCGGATTATAGCAACAAAACATTTATCACAAACGGATTTAAGTATTTTATAAAAACAATACGGCTTTCATAATACAAAAAAAAATGTGAGAAGCGTGCCAAATAGACAAGAGGATTTTTTTATATATTTCATTCTTTTTAGTCCACAGATAGAAAACTTACGAAATGTGCTTTAAAAAAAATCTAAATCAGGAAACTGAATTTAGATTTATTATATATCTATAGTACAGAACTATTTTATGGACTACTTTTGATCATTCTTTTCGTTTCTGACAAAATTGATCCGCGTATTGATTTTATATAAATATCTGATGAAGAAGTATGTCGATAAAAGGTTTTCAAACATTAAAAAAAAACTCAAGGCATATGTATTAAATGAACAACAATTATAAATACTCAGTATATTTTTTTTTATCATAACAAACAAAAATTACTCCATTTATGTACATTATATATTTTTATATCATTTTTTTTAATTCTTCAATTCCTCCAAAACAAAAAATAAAACACTAACAAAATAGGTAATCTTTAAAAATAATTTCATTCATGTTCATTGAAAACTAATATTTGTATCCTTATAAAGTATGATTATTTAAAATTAAATAATAATATAAAAATTAAAAATGTATGACTGCTTTTTTATGTATTTTTTTTGTTCTTTAGTAATCTCATTCATAATCCCTTTGTCTTTCAAATGTCTCAGAGCGAGAAAATTTACGGATTAAAAGACAAGGACCATACTATCCGGATAAGTTCAAGTAATTTAGACGTTTTTAAGGCACACTATTTACATCTGGTACAATGCTATTAGTATATGATTATTTCTTATATATATTATTTTTCTCAGAGCAAAATTTGAAGTTGGATGGAAAAATCAATTCTATCATTTTATTCACAGATGTATCTTAAAGAATATGTATGACATATTTCGATATATATTACAATCATAATCCTGATTTTATTATATTATATATTACTTAAAAACATTAATAATCTTACATGAGGAGATATACATAGTTTTAAATAACAAAAAAATGTAGCTTCCTGGTTAGAAAATGTTAAAAAAAAATACTAATTTAGGTCTATTTTTCGAAGTTTATTTTGGCGATAGAATAATACATAAATTTCTCATATGTATATAAATATTCGACCTTTTTGGAATCTCAAAAATCTTTTATCATGCATATTACTATGTATGCGGTTTTTGCCATTGTAAAAAAAAATGTGTTGACATCGCGAACTTCACATGAAGAGCTTACCAATCATAGCGCCGTAGACATAGGCCTAAACTATCACTACCATCATGAATTATATACAGACATTCATTCTTTTGACATTATTAGAAAAATTACAAGTTTATTTAGAGCAGATTCTGTTATAATGAGAATTAACATGGGCCTTATCAGATGGAAAGGTAGGTGAAAATTAATAATCATGTAACCTATTGGTTTATTTCTGTTTATTATTTTATTCTCTCACATTATTTAAATTATATTTTGTTTTGGCTGTGTTTCGTTCAATGTGATGAATAGAAAAATGTCAAAGGATTTATTTTCGTATGAAACACGGATGAGTGTAATATGATAAAAGTAAAAGCATGCGTTAAAAAGCATAATAATAAGGTACAGTGACTAAAAATAAATGTAATTAGAAAAAAAAACAAACAAAACCTCCATAAGTCGGCATCGCAGACGTTAATCACATTCAATGTTCGGATGAGAGAAAAAAAAAACACGTAAAGGATAGTCAAAATTCAATGGACACAGGACACTGACTTTTACCAATGTGGTGCTGGTGGAAGGGGGCATGTGCCCCCCGTCCCGAGGCTAGGAATCCCGCCACTTCGGTGACCACACGTCACTGCACAAGACACACCAACACGCAAGGCGTATAACACGCGCGGCGGCCGGACGCGTACTACCGGCTAGTCGGCTACACTGATGGAACAGCTGAACCAGGGCCCCGTCTGCGCATACAGTAGAGACGGCGCTACAAATAGACGGCGAGTACGAAAGAGGTAGACATGGTAGCGCTCGGAAACAGGCGTGGTTGGAGAGACGGCCACTAGCATCGAAGGGGTGGTGCCAGCTTCGTTTTTCTATAGTTTTTTTGGTGCGTGCTCAGCGAGGTGGTAGGATTTCATTTTGTGGGACACGTGCGGCGTTCGCAGTAAATTTAAATTGCCCAGGATGGTAGCTGCTTATAATTATAGAGGCTGTATTTTTCGGTTGCTATGTCTAGGTCCCATTCTGATGTTTTGACTGGGGGCGTGTGAAATGTACGCCGCCCGCCTTCCTCGCTATCCTTTATTTTGACGACTTCAGCTCTCCCTCGCCATGAGTTATGGTGGTATAGCCACCGTATACGTCTTCCTAAGCCCCGAGATTCCCCCTCAAATGTTTTTGAGCCTTCATGTAAATGAACGCTGTAGGAAAATAAATGTCATTATTACAGATTTAAAGTTATTTTCTGTGCAAACTAAGATATTTAATATGATCTATTTGACAATATATAAAAAGTATATAAAGTATAACAATATATCTACATACATCCCTGAATGGTATTTACTCATAGTTAAAAAAAATATTAAGTATAACATTTTGTGAACTGACGTAGAAAAAATAATAAATTACAAAATATTATTATATACATTTAAATTAAACCTGAATTCTCGTACAAATATTAAAAACAAATGTCACCTTTTATGTGACTCGATATTTTGGAAGAAATAAAATACCTAAATTCATTTTTCGCAATACATACCTACTTATATGAAATGATATTTATTTTCTTACCTACTAACTTCTTTTAATGGATGTACATTTACATAAGTTTGAACTCAATTAGAATACTAAAC